TGCTCCTGCACGCCTCTGAACACTCAGATTGAACTTCAAGAATGAGAAGAAACACACCATCCATTAGATGACTAGAAATCACTGCAGGGTCACAAGAAATATGGAAAGACAAGAAAATACCTCTCCTCCAAGGAAAAATAGTAACTCCCCTTCATCTTCAGACAGTATGATGAAATTCATGGAAATGTCACATAAAGAATTGAGAAGTTTCATGGTGACAAAGCTCATAGAGATCGAAGAGAGGAGAGACAATGAACTGCTGAAGAGGTAGGGGAAAGGAGCCGACAAGCTTCAGGAGGTGAGGAAATTCTTGCAAGATCTAAAGGAAGAAATTCACATTATAAAAAAGAATCAAATGGACCATTTAGGGATGAAGACTATAATACAGGAAGTCAAAACCTCCCTTGAAAATATTAAAAGCAGACTAGATCAAATCTCAGGTGTAGAAGATAGAATTTCTGGCCTAGAAAAATCCAACATGAAGACTGAGAAAATGGGCCCCCAAAATGAGAATACTATATGAGAAATACTAGATACCACCAAACGTCCAAACAGCTGGATAATTGGTAGCCCAGAAGGGGAAGAGACCCATAAGGGCATTGACAATCTATTTCATGAAATCCTGGAAGAAAACTTTCCAAACCTAGAGAGGCATTCAAAGATCCAGTCCCAAAAAATACAAAGGACCCCCAATACAATCAACCCAAGAAGATCTTCTCCAAGACACATTATAGCCAATTTGACCAAAACCACAAAGACAAGATACTAAGATTATCAAGAGAGAAACATCAAGTTACCTACAAAGGATATCCCATCAGGCTGACAGCGGACCTCTCATCGGAAACAATGTAAGTGAGGAAAGAATGGGAAAATATATTCAAAATGTTAAGAGAAAGCAATTTCAACCAAGGATACTATGCCTGGCAAGATTGTCCCTCATATGGGAAGAAGAGACAAGAACATTCTCAGGTAAACAAAACCTGAAAGAATTTACCAACACCAGACCAGATCTCCAAGAAGTTCTCAAGGGAGTGCTATACCAGGAAAATTAAATACAGACACACAGAAACAAGAATTCAAAAGCTAAAAAAAATGGTCAATTTAATTGTCAGGACAAGTCTGGAGTTGAATATTATATCCCAGAATTTAATTAGGAAGATAGAACCACAACAGAAGATATATTAAGTACATGAGACTGAACTGGAGAAATAGAATTTTATGACTTTTGACTAAAACTTTGCTGATTTTCTTCTAGGCTTTGTTTTCCAGTTTTAAGGATTTTTGTCCTGTCTTGAGCCACTGATAGGTTCATGTTTAAACAGAATCTCAACCTGTTTCCTGACTGTCATATTTATTAAGGAATGGGGGATCCAATTTCCTTAATAGCCTGCCATTTGAATTGAGATTATTATCATTCCAGTAGTCAAGGACTGCAATTGAACCACTTTCCTTGTTACACTTGTTAAGTTAGGAATAATGTGCAACAGGCCTCATCATGGATAAGTTGCATGGTATTTGTATATAATGCATTATTCTCTAAAATATGGCTTACTTTTACTTGCTGTATTTAACATTTTATTTGCACTAAACTTTATAAATGAGAAAAAATAAGATAATTCTTTAAAAATAAAATAAAATTTCTTTAAAAAAAGGAGAAAAATAACTTCTTGAAGATAAATCAAGCAATATTCAAGAAAATGAGATTTTTTTCAAATGACTTTTGACTAAAACACTGCTGATTTTCTTCTAGGCTTTGTTTATCTTGTTCTGAGTTTCTGATAGGTTCATGTACCTACTATTTAAACAGAATACCAACCTGTTTCCTGGCTTTAAGTTTTAAGCATATTTCCTTAGCATTTCTTTGATTTATTAAAGCTAAATCTACTTTTCTTGAAATTAAAAGCATAGTAAAAATATATAATTAATGACCATAGTAAACTATATTGCATCAGCTAGATGCTACCTTATGGTATATTCATTCTATTCAGAGTTTCATGCTTAAATTCAGACATGTATTTGTAGATATGTATATATTAGCAGTTTGCTAGTGAAGGTAGTTAGATTATTTAAGAAATTTTGTGAATCAATAAAATGTGGGGGATGAAAGGAATGGAAAACAACTGTGGACACCTGAGATAGTGTGGGAGGAGGGTGAGAAATGGCAGAGGGGGAGAAATAAGGGGAATCTATCTATCTATCTATCTATCTATCTATCTAGAAATGGAAAACTATTGATGGTAATATGAATGATTAAGCTACTATGCAGCATATTCTGGATGGGAAATCGCATTTTGTATGCTGTGACAATGCTCAGAGAATGGATGTAAATTAATAAAAAAAAAATTTAAAAAGGATTTCCCATTATATACTCCAGGAAGAGCATAGCCTGCTGACACACTAGCCCTGAAGGCACCTTGAATGTAGACTTTTGGCCTCTAGAACTGTGACAAAATTAATTTCTGAGATTTTTTTTTTATTTATTTATTTTGCCAGAGGGTACATGCACTTGCCAGAGAGGGAGAAGGAGAAAGCACCCTGAAAGGATGCGGTTACGTTGTAATCCCTTCACCTCCATTTCTCCATCCTGTGGGGATTTGGGTCATACACACATGTGTCCAGGTGTTTTTCAAGCATCTGAATCTGGGATTCAAAGAATGCAGTCAGCCATGTGGGACCTGATTTCTTCAACTACCAGGTCACTGGGCTGGCCCTGAACCTCTGTTATGTTAAGCCAGCTGGCTTGTGATTACTTGTGGTTACTGTAACCCCAGGATATTAATAAAAGTACCATCACTTGGCTGATGTTATTGTAACTTTTGGAGCGGAGTCTTGTTCTGTAAAGCAGTGGTTCTTAAGTGAGAAGTGCCTGGAGAATTTCTAATGATGCTGATGTCTGAGAAACCAGACATCTCTCCTCAGAGAGTCCGATTCAGTGTGCCTGGGGTACAGGCTAGCGTGGTAAAGCCAGAGATGAGAACTGTCATTTAATTAATTGCAATAACTTACTGTCATGGGATGGCACAGAGAGGCACATGGGCCAGGAATACCTATGTAGCTTTTCTCTTTTACCTTAGGAATTTCTTTCAAAACATAACATTAGGTATCCTCTTTTTTTCAATGACAGAGAGACAAGAGAGCACACACAGACCAGTAGATGGTGTCATGGCTACGTCGTTGGACTCCCAAGCATTTGACTGCATTTTGAGTCCCGGATCTAGCAGCTTAAAACTCACACCAGGCACATGTGCATGTGTGCCCAAAATCCCGAGAGGAGAATGGAGGAGCAGGGTTTACAACATGGCCACCCTCCCAGGGGGGTGATTTCTCACTATTGGTCTCTCTGGTGAGTGTATGCACCCTATAGCAAAAATCTCTTACTCTAAAAAAAGAGAGAGAGAAAGAGAGAGCACACAGGAGAAAGAAGGGGTTGTTTTGACAGCGTCTCACCATTGCAATTTTCTATTGCAGCTTCCTGTTAGCCAGGATCACAGGTACGGGCCACCATACCCAGCCTGTTCAGTTGGCCTGCGATCCAAACCTAGTCATTCCTGTGACTCCACCTCATGCAATGGTACCCTATCACCTGCAGCACGGAGACTAGGCCCAACATTAGCTATCTTTATGTCTATGTACAGTGTATCCTTAGACCTTGGGGGAAATAGATTCAGATCAGTGATGTGTATAGACCCACCATAGTAAGACAATGCTGTTCCCACCATGCTAAAAAAAAGGGACGCTTGGGCCAGCGGATCTGCACGCTGCTGCCCCCTAAAGCCCGGGGGAGACATTGCTTTCCAGACTGAGGCATGATAATGCCCAACTTCGATCAAAATCAGAAGATTCACTAACAAGCTCTTACTCTAAACGGTCCCATCATCTCCCTAGTAATCAGATAAGGACCGTTGTGAAGTTCTGGTGGCGTGCTCTTTTGTGTAATTAGAAAAATCTGCTTCATGGCTACACTGAATGGGAGAAGAGTCAGTTATTCTTTGGTGAAGACAGGATTTCTGATTGTGAAACAAAGCAGTTCCTTGTGTGCCATCCCTAAATAAGTGCTTCTTTATGTTGGAGGTTGTATGGCCTCCCGTTGTGCCCTGTCTCGCACGCACATCAGTGAGCAGTCATGAGTGCATCGTAGTTAGCACACACACATGTCTGCAAAGGGTCTTTGACGAGGAACTCACTGTGTCTATTGACTCCCCGGAAGTCTGAGGTCACAAGCTTGGCTGGAGCACATGAGCCCAGATAAAGAAGATGATTTTGCCCTCCTGAAACAAAGCCAGAAACTTTATCTCCTTTATTGTGTGCTTTGAGTCATGTGCTCACGACGAGCCTTTCTCTAAGACTAATCCGCCTAATGACGGCTTCTCCCAGCCCTCATACAACCCCACTGGGCCCCGTGGCTTGGCAAGCCAGATGGAATAAAGGGAGCACGGTGCTTGGCTTTTGAACTGAGTTCAAGGCAATTAAAGTCAAGGGCTCAGGAGGGAAGGAGGGGGCTTAGAAATACCAGTGTAATAAGCAGTATGGCTGGAGTGCTCTGTAAATTAATTCAGTTAGACAAAGCCCAATTCAACGGGGGTGGCTAGTGAGAAGCACTACCCTCATTAAATTTGGCTATTAGAGGTGCTTCTAATGAAATTAAATTTGTGTTAGTTGTTTGAATCACATAAAATAGCGTGTGTATGTGCATGAACACATGTGCATGCGTGTGGGTTTTTGTGGGTGTTTTTTCAAGAGGTGAAATGAG